GTCCACCTCCCGCAGGGCTGCGGCCTGCTGCTCAGGGCCGATGCCACGTTGCCGAGCAACAGCTGCCTGCTGCACCGCATTGCGTTGCGCCCTTCTCGCGTCGCGGGTGCCGTACTGCCGTTGTAGGCCGCTGGGGAGGCAGTGTCGTCGCTGGGCGCCGCCGTTGCTGCTGCGCTGCCGCATGCCTGCGCCATCCAGCGTCTCCACCATGAGCTCAGCAAATGCCGCTGCCAGCTGCTCCAGGGCTGCAGGGCTGGCCGCTGACCCCGCTGCCGCTGCCAGGGCATCCAGCTGCGTTTGCGTGCCTGCGAGGAGCGCCACGGCTGCTGCCAGCTGCTCAGCTGTCCCCAGCTCGAATTGGCGCTGCTGCGGGGGTGCTGAGGTGTGCTCCGGCTGCGCCGCGCTGTCCCGCTGTGCCGGCGGGGGTGCTGCTAGCTCCAGCAGGAGCGTGGCGTGGTCGGAGTGAGTGCGCTGCCCGTTGTGATTTCAGGGAGCAGCCTTTTTGCCTCTGGCCCTGCCTTGAGGATTTACTGGCTGCACATTGCTGCTGCTCTTGGCGCTGCTGCCATACTCCTTGCCATTCCTTGCACGGCCTTCACGCTGATCGTGGCAGCCCGCCAAGCGTGGGCCGGCGGGCGCCTGCGGTCTCATCGATCCTGACCTGCCCGAATTTCTGTGGAGGAGCCGGCTGCCAGTCCGGCCAAGCGCAACACTCAGGACGAGCGCCAGGCAGGCAGGCAGGCTCGACAAGCAACCCTGCCGCCGACTGCGTCACAGGCCGACTGCGCCGCAGCACGCGACTTGGTGCGGGACCAACACCAGCAGCAACGGCGAGTGCAGCAGCGTGACGCTGGCCGCACCAGGCTCCGGGGGTTGGCTGCACGCCGCTCAGCACCTCAGCGGGACCGCCAAACCCAGGATCAGCAGCTGTGCAGCACCGTGCCGTGCTGCTGCACAGGGCTGTGCTATCCGCCGGGGCACGAGCAGCGCCAGCTGCATGATGTGGCCCCTTATTGCTGCTGACTGTAATGGCCACATCATGCTGGAAATGAATTGTTGCAGCACTTTTGTTTTTGCAGCACTTTTTTTTCTGTTTTTGCTACAATCCTGATGTACCATTGATTCCCTCTCTTCAATTGCCCTTTTTGGCGCTGGCGCCTGGCGGCCACCGAGGTGGCCAGCATCTTCTGGATGCGTTTTCTAGTAATTGGCATAAAGCCGCAGCCAGCTTGAAACTTTCCACAATCCGTGACAGGAGCTTTGAGTAGCCTCCTATTCACGCGTAGGCTCCGTTGCTGGCACAAGCGACCGAGGAGGAGGATGGCGCCCGCTCTAGAGGTGGGAGGCGTGCGTGCTCTCTGCACCTCTGAGCGGCCCAGAGGCGCGTGATCGCCCCCTAGAGGCCGCCGGCCTTGGCGCAGCGCTCAGTGGTACTACTGCCCTCCCCTCAACCCTCACGCGTTTCCCAAGTCCTTCCACGCTCGGCGCAGGCCTCTACGGGCCTGCATAAGCTGCGGCAGCCCCTGCTGGACGGCGACGAGCACACCGAGCGGCAGGCAGCGGCAGCGCTGACGCTGCCGCAGCCCTCGCTGTCTGCCAGCCGAGTAGACCTCGACCCCGAGGCGCCCGGCAGCCCAACGCTGGCAGAGGAGAAGCATGCCACCCGCCGGGAGATGATTGGGCTGGCCTTCAATGCCCTGGTGCGGCACCCCGCGGGGTCAACAGTTGTCTGTGGCCCTGCTGGCATGCCCCCTCTCCCTGCCGCTCCAGCTGCTGCCACGCCTGGCCCCCACCTTCTCCCGCGCTGCCACGCCCCTGCCCGCAGTCCACCCTCTTTGGCACCGGCATGAGCCTGTTTGCAAAAATCTCAGGTGCGGCTCGCAGCGCTCGCATGCAGCCGTGCACGGGCTGCCCCGGCTGAGTGCAAATGGCTGACTGCCGCCGCCGCTGCTGGTGCCTGAGTCTCCCGTTTTTTGTGGGCGCTGCGCGGCACCGCCCTGCAGGCAGCCAGGGCATTGGCGTTTTCAACATCGTGCTGACCCGCTCCCTCATCCTAGTGCTCTTCACGGGGCCAGAGCTGTTCTACCACCGTGTCAACCCCTTCCATGACAGAAGGTGGGCCAGCGGGCCAGGCAGCAGCCCTGCCGCCGCGGCGCCCGCCCGCTCGCCGCTGCCGACGCATGGGCTGCGCAGCTACCCTGGCACCACTCGCTTCGTTGGGACAGTTGGGATTCTCTGAGCAGCCAGGTGGCATGCGCACAGCCTCGGTCCCATCAGCGTCGGCGCCACGCAGCGGCTGGTGCCACCTCCAGCTGCCGACTGCCCCACCGCCCCATCAGCTTCGTGCAACCCTCCGCACCTGTGTCCCCGTCCCTGCGGCGCAGGCGCCGCTGGCTGCTGGTGCTGCGTGGCGTGCTGGGCTTCTGCTCAGTGAGCTCCCTGTACCTTGCGGTGGCGCTGCTGCCGCTGGCAGACGCCTCGGTCCTCTCCTTCCTCTCTCCCATCTTTGTGGCAGCCCTGGGGTGAGCTTTCCTGGAAGCTTCCGGGAAGCCCCAGGCAGCTGTGCAGCACGCACAGCGCACGTGCACCCAGCCGCAGCTGCTGCAAAGGGCCGTGCAAGGGATCCGTGCGGTGCTGCTGGCGTGCCTCGTTCCCTCCCATACCTTCCCGCCCACCTGCCCTCTCGCTCCTGCCCCGACCGCCTTTGCCTGGGCCCCTGCTGCGCAGCCCCATCATCCTCAAGGAGCGCTCCTCAACCGGCACCCTGCTGGGCATCCCAGTGGCGATGGTGGGGGTGGTGCTGGTGGCGCAGCCCGGCATCGTGTTTGGCGGGGAGGACCACATCAGGTGCGGCCGCCTCTCAGCACGGCGGCGCCCCGCCCCGACTTCATCTCGCCCTGCTGGCAGCTGGCCCTTTCCCCTGGGCCGCCGCGGCAGCTCCCCGGCTTCTCGGGCGCTCACCGGCTCGTGGCTGCTGCCCCCTCGCCGCTGCCGCTGCCTTCACGCGCTCCCCTGCCGCCCCTGGTGCCTGCAGCAAGCTGGGGGTGGCGGTGGGCATCACCCAGGCCTGCTTCAACGCCCTGGCGCGCACGTGTGTGCGCGCGCTGAGGTGAGCGCACTGCAACCTTCGCCGCCAGCCTGCTGACCGCAACAGATCCTGTTGCCTTCGCGCCTGTGCAGCCGCCGCTCTCGGGTGGCCACCGCCCTCTGGCGGCCTCCTGCAGGCCCCCCTGCTCTCCTGCTGCCCTGCCAACCCCCGAGTGGTCCCCTGTGTGCTGCTGCCGCTGCTGCTGCCGCAGCCAGGGCAGCAGCGAGCGCATGTCCTCTATCATCTTTGGCCAGGGCATCATCAGCTGCCTGGGAGCAGGTGGGCGGAGGAGGGGTCGCGCCTCAGAGGGCCTGCCCTGGCCTTCCCCAGCCTGGCGTGAAAAAAAGCACCCCCTATTTTCTAATTTGTTTCTTGTTTGGAGATGACGGCCCCTCTGCCTGTGCCACCCGGCTGACTCTGCCGGGGCCTTGTGGTGGCCCCCCCTTGCGCGTGCAGCCATCCTGTGTACCACCACCAAGAGCTTCCAGGTGCCGACCGAGGCGCCGGTGTGGGGCGCGCTGCTGGCGGGAGGCCTGCTGGGTGAGCAGGGGGGGCGGCCTGCTTGGCCCCTGCTGGGCCTGCTGGGCCTGCTGGGCCTGCTGGGCCTGCTGGGCTCTGGCCTTCCGATCTGAGGCTTCTGTTTGAGGATGCGGCGCGATGCCATTCACGGCCAGGCAGCATTGCCTACCTGCGCGCCTCCTTACCTGCCCCCTGTCCTGTGCCTCGCACCCGTTGCAGGCTACTTGTACCAGCTGGCGCTCACGGCTGGCCTCCAGCGCGCGCGGGCGGCACCGGCGGTAGCCATGTCTTACCTCAGGTGTGTGGTGTGGGGCGGGCCCTGCTGCTGCCGCCTTACCCTCACCTGGGGTGTGTGGTGCAGGCCGTGCAGGCCCCTGCTGCCGCCAGTACCCGCAGTGGATGCATGCCGACGAGTGTTGGCAGCATGGCGCCCGCGCTCCCACGCCCCAGCCTCCACACGAGGCCACCTTTGCCTCCTCACCTTGTGCTGCCCCTCCCGCTGCTCCTGCTCCCCCGCCCGCAGCGTCATCTGGGGCATACTGGCCGACATCTTTGTCTTCCACGACCTGCCTGACAGCCTGAGGTGAGGTGGGGGACAGGCTGGGGCTGGCCAGGGCCAGGGTGTGGGCAGGGTCTGGCCAGGATCTGGGCCCCAGCACTTCCGCACACCATGCATGTGTACAGAACACATGCACACGGTGTCCACCCCTGTTGCGAGCGCGCCGCTGGTTTGCGGGTCGGTGCACGGGCTGCCGCGAGTCGCCAAATTTGCCAATTTGTCACCGCATCCGCCTGCCTGCCCTGCCCTGCCTGCCCTGCCCGCAGCCTGGTGGGCGCGGCCATCATCTGCCTCAGCAGCTTCTCGGTCGCCTTCAGCCAGAAGCGGGCGGGGTCCCGAAAGACGGCGGACGCCCGCTGGCAGAAGAGCACCGCGCGGCTGCAGCAGGAGCAGGAGGCGGGGCTTCTGCTGGGAGCGGCGGATGGCCAGGACGGGGAGGAGGACGAGAGCGGCGCCTCGGCAGAAGGTGCCAGCCCTGCAGGCGCCAGCCAGGCCGGCTCCGTGGGATGGGCTGGCGGGGAGGCTGGAGAGCTCAAGGCGTACGTCAAGCTGGCGGCGACCACGGTGGCCGCAGAGGTGGAGGCGGCGGCGGCGGCGGGCGAGGCGCTGGAGCCTCCCGACACGCCGGCGGCGCCCCACGCGCTGCCGCCTGCGCTGCAGCACGGCTCGGCGGACTCGCTGCCGCTGCTGGGCTCCAGCCCGCCGGCACCCCCCGCCCCGGCCTCGGGCTGGGTTCCGGCCGGAAGCTCGCCCCGGTGATTGTCGGCAGCGAGGCGTGCTGGCACGGCCTCCCGGCCCCGCCCTCTGTTTAGAAGGAGAAAGAAAAACAGCCCGACCCCTGTTTACGACATGCTCACTGCCGACTGTACTATCACACACCTCCGTAAGCTGTACCGTCATGTACCGTCGCCTGATCCGGTGTACCGTTTCCTACCAGGCGCACCTCTGCTCTTGTTTGCTTCCCTCCCTGTCTGTTAGACCTCCTGCTCAGTCGCAATTCTTTGCAAAAGCACCAGCATGCATGCATCTGCTTCTTTCATGCCCTTCCCTGCACACTCTGTTTCTGCGTCCTTCCAGTGGTGGGGCGCCTACCAGCTACAGTGGGGACTTGTAATTCCTTGTGCTATCTGTTTTCCTGTGCATAGCTGTTCAAGTGGAAATGCACCCATGGCAAGACCAAAATGGATGGGCTGAAGGGATGCCGCAGCGGATTCAAGTCGGCAAGGGGCCGCACACGCTTGGCATGCGGGGCGCGCCATGCTCCGCACCCAGCCGCCAGGCATGAGGGAGGGGTGCAGGCCGGGGCCGCACTCCTGGCAGCCATCCGCCCCAGCCTGGCTGACCGCGCTGGCGGGGCGAGGCGGCGGCGGCGGCGCCTCGGGAGCAGTAGCTGCCTGGCTGGCAGGGGACACACTGCCTGTCGGGAAGCAGCGAGCCGGCGGCGGCGGCAGCCTGCGGCAAGGGGCAGGGTGAGGCCTGCGGACGGCAACAAAGGTGGGGGGGCTGGGAAGTCGAGCGGCGGCAACATCGTGGATGTGGCGGACCCCCGCCCTTGTGCCAACATGCGGTGTACTTGCCTGTCCATGCAGATGCGTGGTCCTACGGTGCCTGGCAACAGAAATGGCACCACACTGCGCAACGGCAGCTCGCATCACCGTGTGCAGAAAAAGCGCCGCACAGCGGTGGCGGTGGTGGCGGCGGTGAGCGGCGGCCATTCCTGCGCATCGGGGGCAACAATTTAGCGTTCGTTGAAGCGCAGACACCTGCAGGGGAGGCTGCTGCAGAGCTGGCGGCTCAGCAAGCTTTCCAGGCTGCACGTATTTGTGTTTTCAGGGGCGCCTGTGATCTTCACAGCACCAGTACGCAGCTGGTAACATTAGGGGAGCGTGCATGCAAGGAGAGAGGGTGCAAGAGGCTGGGACCACCGTCACCCACTCCTGGCGCGCTCAGGTGCGCGCCACTGGCGCCGGTGCCGCCATCAGGGCAACCGGCGATGTGTGCAGGTCACGGGAGAGGGCGCGAGGGGTGTGGAACAGGCGAGCGCAGTTGCCAATTGCTTGTGTGAGCCCCCTGTTGCCCCACAGACCGCCGAATGAACCCACCATTGTGAGTGCGGAGGAGCTGGGTCTAGGTACAACGGCCTGATTGTTGTCGTTTGGCAACATGGATGGCGGCTCGGATAGTGGCGGCAGCGGCACGCAGGCGGGAGGCTTTGCGGCGCACGCAGAGGCAACTGGTGCCCCCCGCCAGCCGCGGCCTGCGGTCAGCGCCAGGAGGCGGGGCACAGCGGCAGTGCGGCCGAGGCGCTCGCGTGGTGAGGCTGTGTCGGGCCCGCCGAGTCTGAGGGCGCCCCGCAGCTCCTGCAGGCGTGGGCAGCATGAACAGTGTTTGAGAGCAGCGTGCGTGCCGTTCGCCAGTGGCAGCACTGCAGAGAATGCAGGTTTTTGCTGCCAGCCATGCTTTCTGCCTGAGCTCGCGAGTCCCTGCCTGCCGTCCCCACCCATGCAGACGATTCCATGCGCTGGATGCCGGCGGCGATCCTGGGCGGTGCCTTGGTGCTGGGGGCGGCGATGCTGGCTGAGGGCCTCAGGAGCGCTGCTGACACCGGCGGTAAGCACCTGGAGCGGGCATCTCTCCACCTGTCGGGCAGCCTGGAGCGGGCATCTGACCGCCTGTCGCGCGCCCTTGTGACGGCGGCGCACGAGGTCACCATCACACACGTCATCCGCCCCCCGCCCAACGGCCCGCCGTCTTGGTGGCCGTTCTGAGGCCGACGGCGGTTCCCGGGCTGCTGCTGCAGGTGTGGGCTGCCTGCCAGCCTTCCCTCGTGGCATGCCCGCTTTGCAAGCTTCTCCACCTACACACCCACACACCTCGGTGCCTCGCCCTGGCCCTAGGGTGTCAGCGCGCCGCTGAGCGCCGTTCACTGCCAAGGCCTGGATGAAATTGAACGACGGCAGTGGTTGTGTACACATCCATTCATTCATTCAGCACACAGACCGGCCGCCTCTTGCTCGAGGGCGGCCCACTTTGGCCTGGGCAGCCCGGGCCGCCCTCCCCCCCGGGCGCATGTTCGGTGTTGGAGGGGTGTGCCCAGCGATAGGGGGCCCCTGAAGGCATGCGCCGAGGCCGGGAAGCGTGGTTCGGCGCTGCTGCACGCTTGGCGATTTGAACAGAACCACGTGCCGCCGAGCTGCGGCCGCAGTTTCCGGCCCACGGTCTACGGTCGCAGCCACGGGACTCGGCGGCACGGCGTTTGGGCCCAAGCTTGCTGCCGCCGCCGCCGTGCCCGGGGGGCAGCGCGGCGGCGGCGGGGGCACGCTGCGACGCCCCCGTGCTGCCGAGTTGCGGCCGTAGTTTCCTGCCAGAAGCCCACGGCCACAGCCACGGGACTCGGCGGCACGGCGTTTCGGTCCACGGCTTGCTGCCGCCGCCGTCGCAGGGGTGCTGCCTGCGGCGGCGGCGGCACGGCGTTTGGGTCCACGGCTTGCTGCCGCTGCCGCCGCCGCAGGGGTGCTGCCTGCGGCGGCGGCGGTAGCGCACGTGGCAACCCCCCGCGTTTCCTTGCCTCCCATCCACCGGACCCCGTCCTGCGCTTCACTTTGTTTAGGGAGGGGCTGCTCACTGCTCATTGCTCATTGCTCATCGCACACTGCTCAACGCTCATTGCCCTATATCCTGGGTGCCCTATATCCTGCGGCTGGGTGGGATCACCCAGCCGCAGGACTCCACTGCCGCCCGCGCCCCGCCCCATCTGGCCGCTTGCGCGCCCCATCCCCCCTCGATGGGGCCCGCCCACACCGGGGCCTCCCCCCTCCCGCCCACTGCTTTCTCAACGGCCCCGAGCCGGGGCTGCCCTCATTGCATACATAGTGCGCCTTTCCCTGCTTTTCTAGTGACCTAGCGTTCCGCACTGCCGTTTGGCCAGCCCATGCTCCCGTACCGTTGCGTTTCTCCCCAATGCGCCATGCCACTTTGCCAGTCATACACACGTTTCGATGCGTGCCCTGTCAGCTGCTTGCGTTGCATGTCGCCTTGCTCCACCCCTGTTTTATTGCTTTCTCTGCTTTCGCCCGGTTCCCGTCCCGTTTCGGCGGGGAGTCTATGTTGCAAGCTAGTTCTTGCTTTACCAGACTTTAAGCCCACACAAGCATGTTGGCATGTTTGCCCGCGGCTAAGAAAGGCCTTCTTTGAAGGCGCTGGAGCTAGTGTCTAAACCCTCCGAGAGGGCACAGGTTCGATTCCTCCCATGTCGAAACTTTGTGAGGACAAACGCGGCATAGCTGACCGGCTCAGCGCCAATCCAAGCCAATTCCTTCGGGAACGCCTTATAGAATCGCTAAGGTTTCGGCACAGGCCTCCCCGGGACCCATTCACTACTAGTGGGGGGTACTGCACTTGGCGCGTCATGCAGATCAAATAATGGTCTAAAGCTAGACGTTAAAACCGGGAAGTTAAGCCTGTGGAGGCTCTTCCCCACCTTTACCTTTACCTTTACCTAGCTCGTGAGTGATCGGCTTGCTGCCTGCCATGTGGTGCTTGTTGTGTGCCCTCGATGCCCAGATGTGGCTGGAAGGTTATGTTGGCATGTGCCCCTCTGACTTGCCTGCTTTGTTTTCTTTTGCCCTACCCCACACATGCATCTGGTTCCCTCCTATTTCTGCAGCTTGTCAGTGATTGGCTTGCCGCCCGCCATGTGGTGTATGTTATGTGTCCTCGTTGCCCAGATGTGTGATGCTGGCAGGCTATGCGGGCATGTGCCCCTCTGACCAGCATGCTTTGTTTTCTTGTGCCCTACTCCACTCATGCATCTGGATCCCTCCTGATTCTGCAGCTGGTGAGTGATCGGCTTGCTGCCTGCCATGTGGTGCTTGTTGTGTGCCCTCGATGCGCGGATGTGTGTTGCTGGCAGGCTATGTTGGCATGTGCCCCTCTGACTTGCATGCTTTGTTTTCTTGTGCCCTACTCCACTCATGCATCTGGATCCCTCTTGATTCTGCAGCTGGTGAGTGATCGGCTTGCCGCCCGCCATGTGGTGCTTGTTGTGTGCCCTCGATGCCCAGATGTGTGATGCTGGCAGGCTATGCTGGCACGTGCCCCTCTGACCAGCATGCTTTGTTTTCTTGTGCCCTACTCCACTCATGCATCTGGATCCCTCCTGATTCTGCAGCTGGTGAGTGATCGGCTTGCTGCCTGCCATGTGGTGCTTGTTGTGTGCCCTCGATGCCCAGATGTGTGATGCTGGCAGGCTATGCTGGCACGTGCCCCTCTGACCAGCATGCTTTGTTTTCTTGTGCCCTACTCCACTCATGCATCTGGATCCCTCCTGATTCTGCAGCTGGTGAGTGATCGGCTTGCTGCCTGCCATGTGGTGCTTGTTGTGTGCCCTCGATGCGCGGATGTGTGTTGCTGGCTGGCTATGTTGGCATGTTTGCCCGCGGCTAAGAAAGGCCTTCTTTGAAGGCGCTGGAGCTAGTGTCTAAACCCTCCGAGAGGGCACAGGTTCGATTCCTCCCATGTCGAAACTTTGTGAGGACAAACGCGGCATAGCTGACCGGCTCAGCGCCAATCCAAGCCAATTCCTTCGGGAACGCCTTATAGAATCGCTAAGGTTTCGGCACAGGCCTCCCCGGGACCCATTCACTACTAGTGCTTGTGGGCTTACAGTCTGGTTTCAGCAAGAACAAGCTTGCAGCACCGACTTTGTTGTTCGAGCAAGGAGGGATGAAGCAGTAGAACAACAGGCAGGACAGGCCAAC